TCAGTGTGATCTGCCCCAGTACTGAGATGCATGGAGATCAGACATGCATGCTGTAATGGATACTCACATCCTCAGCACACCCCTCCAGGACAGAGAAACACAAACATCACATACCAGACAGAGCTCACCCTCCATACTCACCCTGCTGCCAACTCTCAGGGAACATGTGCTCTGCTCCCCTCCCCCTCCCAGGAAGTGAGAACAGCTACAGGGTTTCCAGAAGTCAGCAGGGGCAGGAAGAGACAATCTATCTCCCTTTAAACTTGCTGGTAGTTGTTCAGAAACCCATATCACAGTGCTATCCTATATAGATATATTCCAATAGTTACATTTATTTTTCATGAACAACTTTATCCGCTCTCTTTTATGATGCAGGAGAAGTGACAGTCGGTAGTAATCCTGGTGCAGCAAATTCAAATAATATTGTTATTAAATTATCACTATTATTGTTTCTATTATTAGGGCCAGTTCATACCCGAAAGCCGCGTTCCATGCATGTTTCCTGCACCACATTCAAAAAGTACTGTAGTTGCGATCTGCAATGGGTGTCACTATTGCACTGCATTGCATCTGAGCACCACAAACCAAAAATGATTATTATTATACAGGATTTATGTAGCGCCAGCGGTTTGCACAGCACTTTACAAAATGAAGGTAGACATTGCAGTTACAATACAATTTGGTACAAGAGGAAACAGAGGGCCCTGATCCTGAGAGCTTACAATCTAGGAGGAAAAATGCATTTGAATTAATTTTTAACATTTAAAGCAAACTCTCAAATCCATCCATGTCTCCATGATTTATTTTCCTGCAAAAATCACTCTGAAAAACACTCCCTAGCATTTCTGGCTGTGACCATCTTAACTCCTTGCCTACCGGGCACTTTTACCCCCTTCCTGCCCAGACCAATTTTCCGCTTTCAGCACTGTTGCACTTTGAATGACAATTACACGGTCATGCAACATTGTACCCATATGAAATTTGTATCATTTTTTCGATATGAGGATGGATTTTGCCGTGATTGCCTCGGAGCTCTTCTCGGGTTTGTGTTTTTTTTTGTTTTTTTTTTCTTCTCGTCCGTGTCTCTCTACTGTTTGTCTCTTTCTAATCTATTGTCCAAACTGTCCTTAATCATATTTTACGGATTGAATTTACTGTTTCATGTGCTACATTTGCATCAGTATCTAGGTATCCTAGACTTCTTTATATACCTAAGGTTTGGAACATGTATCATTCTTTGGAAGGGCCTTTTTTTTTTTCTCATGCCTGTACGGTCTTCTATAATGTTGATGCAGCAAAACTCTCTTTTGAGCGTACACTGTCAGTACCCTGATTATCAGTGCAGATGTCTCCTTTGATAGTTGCCAGTTATCGGCAGTACTTTCCTCACACTGTCACAGTGTGAGGAAAGTACTGCCGATAGCCGGAAAAAATGTACATGGTGGTCAGCTGTGATTGGGTCAAACCAGCTCACACAATCTTATTCCAAAGATCCTTGTATTAGGTGTTGCTCACATAGTTCCACCCAAACAACCTCCAGTGATTCTGTGGGATCTCAAACTGGTTCTCTCAGCTCTTCAACGACCGACTTTTGAAGCCATCAGAGATATCCCTTATTCTTCTCTAACTCATAAGGTAGCTTTGCTCTGTTAGATGACTGAATTGGAAAACCTTGTCTTCTCTTATGTTTTGTAATGATAAAACTGTCTTTAGACCCACTGCTTCCTTTCTTCCTAAGGTAATCCCAGCTTTGCACCTTAACCAGGACATTGTTCTTCCATCTTACTGTCCTGCTCTGGTTCATCCTAAGGAGACAAGCTATTGATACAGCTCTTTTATGTTAAGTTGCTGTTATTTTTTTTCTTGGAGTGTTAGTGTTGTGTTTCTAGGTTTCTCCCCTGAGTTGGAATACTTTTGAGATGTCCCAATGTCCCTGAATCTACTGATTCTGTGTCCTTTGAATAACTCCAAGAAAAGGATTTTATGGTGAGTGCAAAACCCATGTTTTTATTATCATCAATTCACTATTCTTCTACATCTTTATATTCTTATTATTATCATCATTCTTTTTATTATTATTGTAGCACCCTCTAGTGTGCTACTAGAATAGTGTAGTGAATTGTAGGTAAAATCATTGTGTATGACTCCTGGTAATTGTGTGAGTCTGTGATTGAGGTCGGGTTACTTAAGGTCAGCTGGATGACTCAACAGGTTGTGGCTCTATTGCCTCTTACTGACTCTGGAGGACCATAGAACCTTCCAGAAGTCGGTAAGCAGGAAAGGGTGGATACCTAATCTGCATGTTCATTTCAGGTCTGGCCAATCCCAGTTTTGGAGGCCCTGGTAGAGTGTTGGACTGGCCCATAAAAATGGGAGAGTCAGGCTGACAGAGGAGTCAGGTGGGAAGATGGAATGCTGAGGAGACTGTTGGTGCCTGGGCTGCATCCCCTTGGTCTGGGGGGGAAGGGGCTCCAGGCTAGGCTCGTTCTGGCTCAGGAGGATACATTCACAGTAAGGGATGAATAGGATCGAGACCAGGAGCAGCAGGGAGCAAAGAGGACACAGCGAGTACAATAGCACTCTCTGGGATCTATAAGGGGAAAGACTGCCACAAGTAGCAAGCTTTCTAAGGACAGTGCTGGGCTCAATCCTTTATCCTTGTCCTGAGAGATCTTCCAAGAAGCCAGGAGGGCTGGTAGTGCTTGAAGGCTGTGGGGCTGGGAGAGACGATATCTCTGCATGTAATTATGATAAGCTAAGCTGATTTTTGAGGAGCTTCTAGTTGCTGGTGCTGGTCCGCAACGACTGACTGCTTTCAAGCAAAGAACAGTCCAGAATCTGCTTTTGTACATAGGTTGGAAGTGTCCCCCCTTCATTGATTCAAGCTAACTGGGCATCCCATAATTCCTATTTCCCTATCCAAGTTGTTTTCCCCTAATAAAACAACAAAACCAAGCCCATGTACTGGTTACTGTCTCTTGGATGCAAGTCTGTGTGAGAAATACCTGTTGCCTGGCTGTGGGGTGAGGAGCTTAGGGGTACCCACAACACAATGACCCTTGTGAGGATAATGCTACATTATTATAATCCATCCAGTATTCTTCTTACCTCTTTTTATTATTATTTTTAATTTTAATGATGCCAAAACTAGTTTTTGATTTTAGAATTTTGGGTTAATTTGATGTGTGCGCTGGATTTTGCAACCAATTTGCTTTTGGAATAAAATTATATTTGGACCCTAATATTATGGTGTAGCACTTCAATTCTAGACTCACCCAAAAGTGATTGTGGAAATCCTTCAGTGTGGAGAAGCTCCAGCCCAAAATTAATTATGTAGTCATATTACCATCATACCTTTGGTTGACAACAATTTAAGGGACACTTCAACCACCCAGGTTACCTGACTTCCAGAGACATTTCAACCACACATGTCCCCTAATTGCTAGGAACACACCAACCACTTAGGTCACTGGTCGTCCTGGGATAATTTAACCATTTAGGACACCTAACTTCAAGGGACAGTCCAACCACTTAGGTCACTGGTCTTCCAAGGACAATCTAACTACTCAGGTCACCTAACTTTTAAGAACACTCAAACCATTCAGGTAACCTGACTTGCAGGGGCACTCCAACCACCCATGTTACCTTACTTTGAATTCCAAACACTGGAAGCAACAAGGTTCCTTGTCTGTCTTCCAGGGACAATGCTTTGATTTTTTTGTGAAGTTGTCCCTGGTATTCATTATCTAGAAGTGTTCAGTTCTCATTATCTGGATGTTGTATTATTAGATTACCAGTCTGAAAAATTGCAAATGCAATTTAAAGAGATTCCTTGTAATTGAACTGAGGTGTGCCAAAAGACCCAGTAGCATGGTGTCCTCGGAAATTATTGGCCCCGTGTGCTTTGAAGGGAGACTTGCAGATATTTTCCCCCTGTGGTTGGTTTACTTGGCAATGATGGTCATATGATCAGATAGGACATGGTAGATGTGGACAATCACTATGGACATTGCTAAGCATTATCATCAGTTTTCAGAGTGAAAAACAATGGGCACAGGAATAATGCAGGCCATAGACGTCCCGCACGAAAAATCGGCCGATATTCACGCCGTTAGTGGGGCCAGCCCGTCTGTCGTTTTTCGCGGATTTTCTCATTTAGTATTATCAGTCATACTGGAAAATCCACAAAAAAATGGCCGTTTTTCGTGGACATTGGTGGCAGCATCGCTGCCAGCAACAACCGATTTTTCGTTTATCGGCCGAAAAACGACCCGTGTATGGCCAGCCTAACTCTGAGTGTGTTTCTTCTTCTTCCAGATGTGCCTGAAGTGGTCACACGTTACAATGTGAATGTCCAATCTCACTTCTCCACTAGCTGAATGCTCACAGTGTGCGTGGTGTGCAAATTTCAGGCAGGCAGACTGAGCAGGAATTCAGTTCCATCCAAAAACATAGTGATCATATGAGGCACAATGGTTGTCTTCTGTTCGATATTAATCATTAGCTCCACCTGGTTGGAATGTCTTCCTGTTTTCGAGTTTGTTGTGTGAAATCTGCAATGTGTAAATCCACATTATACAGTCAGGAATTCTCCTGAAAGGTGCTATTGTTGGGGATTGGCCATGATCCTTTAATCCTATCATATAATCAAGGCTACGCCGGTCCTGAGAGTAGAACGGACAGGCTGCGCCATGGAGGTCCTTCGAGATTTTCTGCTGATGTTCTGGAAAGTATTCGGCTGTATCGTTCCTTCGGTAATGCGATGGGTGGTCAGGCCCAAGCAGAAAAACGTGAGAGGTGCCATCTGCCTGGTGACTGGAGCCGCCAGTAATGTCGGGAGAAATTTTGCCCTTGAATTTGCCAGGAAAGGGGTACTTGCCCTTGTACTGTGGGATAAGGACAGAGAAGGAATGGAGGAGACAGTGCGCTTGGTGAGGTGTCTGAGGGCCCGCGCATTCCCCTACACCTGCGACATTAGCCAGAAGAATGAAGTCTACGCCATGGCCCGCAGAGTGCAGCGAGAGGTGGGAGACGTCACCATCTTAGTTAACAATGGCAGTATTGAAGCCGGCGAGCGATTCTTACAATGTGAGGATGACGTTATTGAGAGGAGGATGAGGATGAACTGCCACGCTCATTTCTGGGTAGGCCACACTTCAGAAGGTGGGACGCTGAAATATACGTATGTACATTGTCAGGTAACCAGTCGGAGGCCACTGTCCAGCAGTATCACCACCAGCCACAGAGGGTTGGTGAGTGTGTAGGTGGAACTCTAGGAACACAAATACTTTTGAGCCCTGGTTCACACATATGCGATTTGTGATGCATTTGCACAGACACTGATTTGAATGACAGGACACATAGCATATATTCCTATGAAGGTGGATCACACTCATGCGATCCAACTGCATTGCCTTTTTGGCTGCGTTTCTAAAAAGGGTCCTGTGTGAGTTTGGAGCGATGTGTTCCAAACTCGCCTGCTATAGAGTACTTTGGGACTCTGATATTATTGCTTACATATGAGTGCGATTTGATGCGTTTTTACCATAGAAGCAGAGGATTTTAAGGATAGAGAGACAAACTAAAAAAAAAAAACCCAAAAACCTATAGACAATGCAGATCTAAAAACGGAGCACTTGAAAAATCTCATCAAAAAACACATAGGTGTGTAAACAAAGCTCATGGGAATTGAGGGGAAGAATCACACTAGCAAAACGGAGCGATTCCAGAACGCATATATGTGAACCAGGGCTGAATGTTCAAAAAGGCAAAAACCAACCAATTAAATTTTATCTTTCACTGATCCAGCATAAATAAAATGTCGTCTGATTGGTGTGGGTTACTGCAATTTGCATATCACCATTTCTATTGAATACATTATATCTTCTAAGTCAGCCTTTCTCAAACAGGTGCCCAGGCACCCCAGGGTGCCTTGAGGTTTCTTCAGGGGTGCCTTGACAAAATGTAAAAAACTGCCCAAAACTTGTATAGAAGCCAGCAGGTGGAACAAGCCTGCCTATTAGTTACACAAAGCCACAGGTTTTCATTGTGCGCCATTACAACCTTGTAGCCACCGGCGTCCTGACAACCAATGGCATTATCAGTTGATAAGGAGGATGTCGGCTACTTGCACAGCATCCTAGTTTGATCCTCCCCTGCCCCCCTCCATCAGTGCTGGGGTCACATTAGCTCAGTGATGGAGAAAAACTGAGGGAGAGGAGAAACATTGGAATACTAGTCAGTACCAGCGTGCAAAAGTGTATTTACTTTGGAAGAATAAATCACCTCTAATGTTGGGTGTCCTACGTGTGTGGATGTTGCTGCGTTATATAAAACTATTAGAATAGTTTTTCACATGTTAGAATTGGGTGCCTCAAGACTGTCCGTAATTTTAAAGGGAGCCTCGGGGCTGTTCATAAGTTTAAAGGGTGCCTTGACTGAAAAAAGGTTGAGAAACAGTGTTCTAAGGAAAACTGAGTATATCTGTCAAACTAAATGATACGTTGACATGGCAACTTATACAGAGGGAAAGCTATACCTCCATGTAGAGGGTCAGTTACTGGAAAACGTTCATCCTGGGAGGGGATAGACATGCTAGGATGGGGTGGAGGGGGGTCACAGGTAATGAACTGAGTGTGGAACCTACAGAGATCTCATATAAAATGATATTATAATAGGTGTTATATGTGAGGGAATCCTGGACAGATGGAACTCTATGTAGTAGCACAATATCATCATTTGGGGGGTATAAATGTCTGCACAGAGCCCTCCCTGTACACTAGGCACCCTGCTTATGGGTCATGTGACCTAAATGAGTGATGCTGCACAGGGGTGCTGATTGTGGAACAGTCTTCCATTAAAGTGATTGAATATTGTTCCCCTCTGTTGCTTTCCTCCATGTACGAGAAATCCATATTATTACTAATCAATGAAACAATAAGTCTATAAAATGAACATTTTGTCTGTTTACTTCTACCTGCATGCATGTCAGTGTTCGTGATTAACAGTGATACAATATGCAGATACTGACACCAGTTGAGGTCTGCTGACACCTGCTGATTCCTGCTACCAACCCTTGATGTCTGATGTCACCTGCTGACACCTGTTGATGCACTGACACCTGCTGATTCCTGCTACCAACTGTTGATGTCTGATGTCACCTGCTGACACCTGTTGATGCACTGACATCTGCTGATGTCTGCTGAAGTCCACTGGCACCTACTGACAACCACTGACACCTGTTGACACTCTGACATCTGCTGATCTCCACTGAACCTGTTGATGTGCTGACACTTCCAGCTGCCCGTTGACACCTGCTGATGCCCACTGTCACCTGTTGATTCACGCTGACAACTGTTGAGGTCTGCTGACAGCTACTGACACCTACTGATTCCTGCTACCAACTGTTGATGTCTCATGTCACCTGCTGACACCGGTTGACGCACTGACACCTGCTGATTCCAGCTACCAACTGTTGATGTCTGATGTCACCTGCTGACACACTGACACCTGCTGTCTCCCACTGACTCTTGTTAACACACAGACACCTGTTGATGTCTGAGAACACCTACTGACAACCACTGACACCTGTTGATGTCTGAGAACACCTACTGACAACCACTGACACCTGTTGACACTCTGACACCTGCTGAACCTGTTGATGTGCTGACACCTCCTGCTGCCAGTTGACACCTGCTGGTGCCCACTGCCACCTGTTGATTCTCACTGACAACTGTTGATACCACTGAGACCCAATAAACCTAAAGCTCTGCTCCATCAAGATCACCTGGAGATTTCAGCCCTGCTCGGTGCTAGTTTCCTAAAGGCCCCTCCTAAAATCTGAAAATGAAAAAGTGGAGGCGCACCCTGGAAAGTCAACTGATTTTAAGTATATCAAAAAGGCTTCAGCTTTGCCTCTTTCTTAGCCATGCCCCTAATGCGTTAAGGCCTTAATAGTGGACTATATTCCAGGTCAAATGCATTAGAGGAGGCGTGGCTTGGGAGGAGGCAAAGCTGAAACTTTTCTGATACACTTAGAACTAAGCAGCCTAACAGTGTGCTGCCACTTTTTCAGATTCAAGGTGTTGATACCAGAGAACACCTGCTGACTCCGGCTGACACCTATTGATGTGCTGACACTTGCTGATGCTCCCTGACATCTGTTGTAGTGATGACATCTGCTGTTGCCCATTGACACCCATTGACAGTTTCTGCTGCCCACTGATACCTGCTGCTGCCCACTGACACCTGTTGACATCTGCTAAATTAGCAACACCCATAATTTCACCCTATAAACTGCTGTGCCATGTTGACATCTTTGATGATCCTGAACTGAAGCACCACAGAAGCTGCGGTCAGAACTGTCTCTCACACCCTCATCTAACCTCCTGAAAAAGTCCTGCTCAGTGTGACCCCACACCCCCCAGCACTTCTTGCCCACAGGACGGTGGAGATGTAAAGCAGGTGGGGCTCTTTGTACATACAGGCTGGGAGTGATTGCTACTATCACAGTGATCTGCAGCAAAAATGAGGCAAAAAAGCATATGCGTTTTTGCCACTTTTTACTGCGTTTGCAATGCAATTTTTTACAGGACATGTGACTCAAAAAACGCACCCAAAATGCAATGCAGATGCATTTTGTATGGTTTTTTTTTGCAGTGTTTTCCATTAATTTTAATGGGGAGGTGCGCTTTTGGTGCGTTTTCTTTACCACGCTAAACCTGCACCAAAAATGCAGCAAGCAGGATTTTAAAAAACACATCTGGCACACAACGTATACGTGTGAAGAGTTCCATAGGACTACATGGTCCCCTTTTTTCTTCTGCTTTTTTTTTAACACAAAAGTGGAAGAAAGACGGATCAGTGTGAAAGCAGGCTACTTTCTGTAGGTTCCACAGATAATTATGTGATTTCCTGGCAGATGTTGAAGTGTTTCCTTCCCCGGATGATGGAGAAGAACGAGGGGCACATTGTCACCGTGTCCAGCCATCTGGGACTTGTTGCGGCACCATACCAGGAGGTTAGTGTCTCCACCATTACCGCCAACTGCACAATGAGAGGTCAGGAGGAGCCAACAGTGTAATACTGTAAAAACTAAGATGGCGCTGCATGTAAATGAGGGGGAGGAGATGCTGACTGCTGATACTATACTGTATGTAAATAATGAAGGGGGGAAATGCTAATTGATGTTATATGTGAAAAAAGGGGGATGAGATGTTGACTGCTGAAAATAAACTGCTCAAAAAAATTAAAGGAACACTTTGAAAACACATTGATTCTCAATGGTGAAAAATCTCCTGCTGGATCTCTATACTGATATGGACGGGGGGGGGTAATGTGTTAGGAACGTAAGGATGCCCCATCGTTTGATGGAAATGAAAATTATCAACCTACAGAGGACTGAATTCAAAGACACCCCGAAAATCAAAGTGAAAAAATAAAGCAGCAAGCGAGTCCATTTTTCTGAAATTTCATTGCAGCAACTCAAAATGGTCCTCAGTAGTTTGTATGGCCCCCACGTGCTTGTATGCATGCCTGACAATGTCGGGGCATGCTCCTAATGAAACCACGGATGTTGTCTTGGGGTATTTCCTCCCAGATCTGGACCACGGCATCTCTGAGCTCCTGGACAGTCTGGGGTGCAACCTGGCAGCGTTGAATAGAGCGAAACATGACATCCCAGAGGTGTTCTATTGGATTTAGGTCAGGTGAGCGTGGGGGCCATTCAATGGTATCAATTCCTTCATCCTCCAGGAACTGCCTGCAGACTCTCGCCTCATAAGGCTGGGCCTTGTTGTGCACCAGGAGGAACCCAAGACTCATTGTACCAGCATAGGATCTGACAATGGGTCCAAGGATTTCATCCTGATACCTAATGGCAGTCAAGGTGCCATTGTCTAGCCTGTAGAGGTCTGTGCGTCCCTCCTTGGATATGCCTCCCCAGACCATCACTGACCCACCACCAAACGGTCATGCTGAATGATGTTACAGGCAGCATAACATTCTCCACGGCTTCTCCAGACCCTTTCACGTCTGTCACATGTGCTCAGGGTGAACCTGCTCTCATCTGTGAGGACGCCAGTGGTGGACCTGCCAATTCTGGTATTCAATGGCAAATGCCAATCGAGCTCTATGGTGCCGGGCAGTGAGCACAGGGCCCACTAGGGGATGTCGGGCCCTCAGGCCACCCTCATGAAGTCTGTTTCTGATTGTTTGGTCAGAGACATTCACACCAGTGGCCTGCTGGAGGTCATTTTGTAGGGCTCTGGCAGTGCTCATCCTGTTCCTCCTTGCACAAAAGAGCAGATACTGGTCCAGCTGATGGATTGAGGACCTTCTATGGCCCTGTCCAGCTCTCCTAGAGTAACTGCCTGTCTCCTGGAATCTCCTCCATGCTCTTGAGCCTGTACTGGGAGACACAGCAAACCTTCTGGAAATGGCACATATTGATATGCCATCCTGGAGGAGTTGGACTGCCTGTGCAACCTCTGTAGGGTCCAGGTATCACCTCATGCTACCAGTAGTGACACTGACCCTAGCCAAATGCAAAACTAGTGAAATACAGTAAGAAAAGATGAGTAGGGAAAAAAATGTCAGTGGCCTCTACCTGTAAAACCATTCCTGTTTTGGGGGTCGTCCCATCTAGTGTACCTGTTGTTAATTTCATTAACACCAAAGCAGGTGAAACTCATTAACAAACCCCTCTGCTACTTCACTGATCAGATCAACATCCCAGGAGTTTCAATGACTTGATGCTATACTCTAATTAAAAAAGTGTTCCTTTACTTTTTTTGAGCAGTGTATATGTAAATGAGCGAGAGGAGGACATGGTGACTCCTGAGGCTGTATGTAAGTGAGGGGAGGAGACAGTGACCCTCTCGAAGTGTATTTGCCATGAACTAATCCAATTTCCATTTCAGGATTTCTGTGCCAGTCAGTTTGCTGCAGTTGGCCTCCATGAATCGCTCAGCCATGCTCTGAAATCCAAAAACATTGATGGCGTGAAGACAACCCTGATCTGTCCTTATCTCACCACTCACACTTCTACTGACATCCCCTCCATCAGGTGGGCACTGACAATGTGACAGGTCCTCTTGTCAGTGCTGATACACTAATATATGGAGAACCAACACAGACTATTTTACACCCCAATGTATGTCTACACAGAAATAGTCTGGTGTGTGTGATTGTACAACTAAGAGAGTGTAAATTCCTCTGGTGCAGAGACTGATGTGACTTGATCAGTGTTCTCTGCATAGTGGTGTGGACTATGTCAGAACTATATAACTCATCAGTAATAAGCGTGTATCAATTATATGTCAGATCTACATGATTGTATAATAAAAACAGTGTGTGACTGTGGTTGGACATTTAGAGTGTAAGCTCCTCTGGTGCAGACTGATGTGACTGGCTCAGTGTTCTCTGTACAGCACTGTGGAATATGTCAGAGCTACACTATATTGCCAAAAGTATTGGGCCAGTCCTCTAAGGCTAGGTTCACATATGTGCGGGTGGTGTGGCTGCGGATCCGCACGAAAACCCATGCAGCCGCACCACCCGCACAGAGGAATTCGGACCTGCGGGCGGTTGCCATTAGTTTTAATGGCACGCCGCCCGCACTGGAAAGTGCAACCGTACTGGAAACCAAGGTTCCTGTGCAGACTGCGTTTTCAGAAGAAGTGCAGGGACTTCTTCCCTGCGTGTCACGGGGCACAGGAGCCCATTCAAATGAATGGGCTCTCGTGTCCGCACAAAACGTGGCCCGCACAACCGCATATATGTGAACCAAGGGTAAATCATTGGATTCAGGTCTTCCAATCACCTCCATGGCCACAGGTGTATAAAATCATCGCCTAGGCATGCAGACTGCTTCTACAAACATTTGTGAAAGAATGGGTCGCTCTCAAGAGCTCAGTGACTCCAACCGTGGTCCCGTGATAGGTTGCCATCTGTGCAATAAGTCCATCCGTGACATTTCCTGGCTACTAAATATTCCACGCTCAACTGTTAGTGGGATTATAACAAAGTGGAAGCAACTGGGAGCAACAGCAACCCAGCCACCAAGTGGTAGGCCACGTAAAATGACAGAGCGGGATCAGCACATGCTGAAGCGCACAGTGCGCAGAAGTCACCAACTGTCCACAGAGTCAATAGCTAAAGACCTCCAAACTTGGTGTGGCCTTCAGATGAGCCCAACTACAGTGTGTAGAGAGCTTCATGGAATGGGTTTCCATGGCTGAGCAGCTGCATCCAAGCCTTACATCACCAAGTGCAATGCAAAGCGTCGGATGCAGTGGTGTAAAGCACGCCGCAACTGGACTCTAGAGCAGTGGAGACGTGTTCTCTGGAGTGACCGACCACGCTTCTGGCAATCCGATGGACATGTCTGGGGTTGGCTGTTGCCAAGAGAACGGTACTTGCCTGACTGCATTGTGCCAAGTGTAAAGTTTGGTGGAGGGGGGATTATGGTGTGGGGTTGTTTTTCAGGGGTTGGGCTTGGCCCCCTAGCTCCAGTGAAGGGAACTCTTAAGGCGTCAGCATAACAAGACATTTTGGACAATTTCATGCTCCCAACTTTGTGGGAAGAGTTTGGGGATGGCCCCTTCCTGTTCCAACATGACTGCACACCAGTGCACAAAGCAAGGTCCATAAAGACATAGAGGAGCCAGTTTGGGGTGGAGGAACTTGACTGGCCTGAACAGAGTCCTGACCTAACCCCATAGAACACCTTTGGGATGAATTAGAGCGGAGACTGCGAGCCAGGCCTCCTCCCCCGACATCAGTGCCTGACCTCACAAATGTGCTTCTGGAAGAATGGTCCAACCTTTCCATAGATACCCTCCTAAACCTTGTGGACGGCCTTCCCAGAAGAGTTGAAGCTGTTATAGCTGCAAAGGGCGGGGCCAACTCAATATTGAACGATACGGACTAAGATTGGGGGGCCATTAAAGTTCATGTGCGTGGAAAGGCAGGGGGCCCAATACTTTTGACAATATAGTGTATATAAACATATAAGTGTGTGACTGTGGTGGGACATTAGAGTGTAAGCTCCTCTGGTGCAGAGACTGATGCGACTGCCTCAGTGTTCTCAGTACAGCACTACAAAATATGTTGGAGCTATAAAAATATAGGAGTCAATGTGACAAGCGTGTCTTCCTTGTTTTGTGTCATTAGACCAGAATTAGAGGCTTTTCTCTCGCCAGCATCACAGGAGAGATATATCAAGAATGCTGTCAGAGGGATTCTCAATGGACAGAACATGGTCTGCACTCCCAGAATCCTCTACTTTGCTGCTCTTCTCAAACAGTGAGTAGAAATAACTGCCTGTATTATGGAGGATGAGTGTCAGTGTCACTTCATTGCTGCACTGGGGCTCCGACTTGTGAGCTTTGCAGTCCAGGAACACAATTGGCCAATTGATTGTGTGAAGTATGACAGCACATTGCTGAAAACTTACATAGGATTTTTAATGATTCAGTGTGTCTGTGAAGGATCCCATCAACCATCAACATAATCATTTGTGAATAGCAAACCATGTTTAATTTCAGTAAAATACCAGATTTATAGAGAAAACAGAATTCTCTCCAGGTGAGCACTGATGACTTTTTTTCCTAGCACACTTCCAGCTAGATCACATAACAAAAGAAAAAATGACCACCACAGCACTGTTTTGCAGAGGTTTTAGTTGCACAATGCACTTTCCCTTCAAGGCTTCTGTGTATAATGCGGTCCTTACTCTAGGACTGCACTGTACAGAGGGACCTTGAAGGGGCAGCATGATTTGTTTTTGACTGGTTAGTCTGCTGGAATAACATTTTGTTTGTTTTGTGCAAACTTTTCCATGTGCACCTTACTCTGAAACATTGGTCTCCAAACTGCGGCCCTTTGCTTGCTTTTATACGGCCCTTGGAGCATAATTTCATTCACGGACACTAATAATGGGGCACAGGTCCTACAAATGATGGGGCATAGTTCCTCCCAATGACACCAACAATGGGGCACAGTTCCAGCCAATGACACCAACGATGGGGCACAGTTCCTGCCAATGACACCTACGATGGGGCCCAATGACACTAATGATGAGGTACAATTCCTACCAATGATGTAGCACAATTCCCCCAAAGGACACCAGTGATAAGGCACAATTCCTCCCAATGATATGGCACAGTTCCTCCCAATGACACCAACAATGGGGCACAGTCCCTTCCAATGGCACCAACAATAGGGCCCAATAACACCAATGATGGGGCACAATTCCTCCCAATGACACCAGTGATGGGGCACAATTCCGCCCAATGACATCAACGATGGGGCACAATTCCGCCCAATGACATCAACGATGGGGCACAATTCCTCCCAATGACATCAACGATGGAGCACTATTCCCACCAATGACATCAACAATGGGGCACAATTCCGCCCAATGACATCAACGATGGGGCACAATTCCGCCCAATGACATCAACGATGGGGCACAATTCCGCCCAATGACATCAACGATGGGGCACTATTCCTACCAATGACACCAAAGATGGGGCACTATTCCTACCAATGACACCAAGGATGGGGCACTATTCCTACCAATGACACCAAGGATGGGGCACTATTCCTACCAATGACGGGGCACTATTCCTACCAATGACACCAAGGATGGGGCACTATTCCTACCAATGACACCAAGGATGGGGCACTATTCCTACCAATGACACCAAGGATGGGGCACTATTCCTACCAATGACACCAAGGATGGGGCATTGTTTAGTCCAACTAATGCTGGCACATTTTCCACTCCCAATGGTCACAGTACAGCTCCTCTAAAGTCTTAGTGACAGTATACTGGCCCTTTGTTTAGAGACCCCCTACTCTAAAAGCTAGTTCTAAATGGAGACAGTGGCCATTATTGTTAGAGTTTTCATAGAGTGCTTTATGACTCAGAGGTGGATTTACTGAAGGCAAGTAGACGGTGCAATTTGCAAGTGCAGTTGCACTCATTTTCCCCAGAGCTTAGTAAATATCTTCCGATTCCCATCATCCAATCATGTGCAAGCAAAATGTTTTTTTTTTTAAAATGTCCTCACGTCCGATATTGGGTATTCTTTACAAAGTGAAGCTTTACCACACTGACATTTACAAAGGAAAATGAGTGCAAGCAAACTTGCAAAGTGCACAGTCTATTTGCCTTTAGTAAATCAATCCCAAGGAGTTTTTAACCATCTTCACCTGCTTTTGTTCTGTAGATACTGAAATAGGTCCAGTTCATTGTGTTCTCATATTGTTCCAAGTGAGTGCTAAAGGGGAAGGCTCTGTGTATGTAATCATCCCAATATCGGTTCTAGTGCAATACTGCACACCTGACATCTCTGTAACCATGCAGCACTCAGAACACACCTTGGTAGGTAATACAGGGATAGCAGAATGAAATAAGGTTCAACCACAAAATGGCTCAGGGTGTTTTTAATGTAACTGATTTTTTTTTTTTAAAAAAAAGGAACAAGTGACTCCACTGTGTACTTAGGTACTATGTAGTTCTGTGCCCCCGGATGCGGCGGAGAAGCTTGGTGGTAGTACTGGAGTACACTGTCCTCTGAGGTCACACAGACTAGCAAAACTCTGACCAGCGCTGAAACTACCATATGATGCCTGGTTTGCACTAGCAGGATATAGGTGACTAGTTCTCTTTAGCGGCAGAGCCCAGGACATGCAGACATAATGTGAAGTGACGTCATGTAGGAATATCTGTTATCTGTGTTTTCTCTCCCCAGCATTGTGCCCTGGGAGGTGCAGCTTCTCTGCTACAAGTTTCTAGAAGGACCGAAAAGGACACAATGACACCGCCAATACCTTTTCAAATGTCTCCACCCGAGCTCACGACGATACCCATAACCTGAATTTCACGCTCTATTGCTGGGTCCATGAATACATGTTCTTTTATGTGTCTTGGACACTAAACAGTTATCTGTACCCTGAACATATAATATTAAAAGATGGAGGTGAATATGTGTATGTATGGATCTGTCCCAGAGCAGAGGAACATGTCATGTGCATGGATTTTTCCTGAAGCAGAAGTGACCGCGTCATGTGCATGGATCTGTCCCAGCGCAGAGGTGAATGTGTCAGGTGCATGGATTTTTCCTGAAGCAGAAATGAACACGTCATGTGCGCAGATCTGTCCCAGAGAAGAGGTGAATGTGTCATAGGACTTTTATCTGAGCACCAAAAACACTATTTCACTCATTTTAATATTCAAAGCAAAGTCCCCCATACATGCATTATTTTGCTGAGAAATCACTTTGAAAAACACTACCCTAGCATTTCTGGCTGTGGCCATCTTGAGTAAGGGGAGATGATTCATGTAGCATTTACTTACTGGAATCCATCTGCCCTTAGCTCAGGCACGCAGGCAGGAGGGTATGCATAGCTGAGAAAAAACCCCTCCACAAGACATTTGCCTAGGCGAAAAACTAGAAAGCATCTGTAGAAATGTAGAAAAAAAAAAAGTTTAAAACAAGTAAATACAAGATATTTTGCTATTTATTTACTAATGCTAGCAACATAAGGATTAAAAATAGTCAATGTTGATTGACAGAGGGAAGTTCCTCTTTTAAGCTGGCCAACTGCAGATCTGTACCAGAGCAGAGGTGAACATGTTGTGTGCATGCTGTCCTGAAACAGAGGTGAACATGTGTGCATGGATATGTCCCGGAACAGAAGCCAACGTGTCATGTGCCAGATCGGTCTCTGAGCAGGGGTGAACATGTCTGACCACAGGTGAATGTGTCGTGTGCACAGTTCTGTCTCAGAGCACAGGTGAGTGTCACATCAACTGTTCTGTCTCAAAGCATAGGTGAACGCGTCACGTACGCTGGTTCCAACCCAGAGCACAGGTGACAGTATTGTGTGTGCACAGATCTAACCAGGTGCAAATGTGAACTTATGTGTGCACATATGGCCCACAGCAGAAGTGAACGTGTCATGTGTGCTGATTTATCCCAAAGCAAAGGTGAACTTGTACTTTGTGCTAATCTGTCCTGGAGCAGATTTAGGCTACAGTCACACTTTTTTCAAGCATTTTTTTCAGGCGTTTTTTGAGTGTTATTTCAGAAGCTTTGCAAATATTATAGGCGTTTTTGCTGTGGCCAATAGAAATAGAAATAGCTGCTATGTGTGAGCTCATTCCCACTATTCAGGTGTTTTCCATTCAAGTCTATGGGGACATAACGCTCAGATCGGCCTGAAAAGTAGCGCAAGTGCTTTTTTGAGCTACAGGCATTTTACTGCAGATGAAATAATGGGATGTTACTTGTTGAGCATTTCTGAGCATTGAGCTAAAAAAAAACCCGCTGAAGTGCCAGCGTCGTGCATGTATGCAGATCATATGTGCGGATCTGTTGCTGAGCAGAGGTGACTGTGTCGCATGCGGATCTGTTGCGGAGCAGAGGTGAATGTGTCGTGTGGGGATCTGTTGCGGAGCAGAGGTGAATGTGTCGCGTGCGGATCTGTTGAGAAGCAGAAGTGAATGTGTCGCGGGCGGATCTGTTGAGAAGCAGAAGTGAATGTGTCGCGTGCGGATCTTTTGCGGAGCAGAGGTGAATGTGTTGTGTGCAGATCTGCTGCGGAGCAGAGGTGAATGTGTCGTGTGTGGATCTGTTCTAGATATCTCTATCGGGAGAGCCTAAGCTGGGAGGGGGGGGGGGGGGTCACAATCCAAGACCCTGTGAGAAGCTTGATGACCCCAGCTACGATTATCAAATCAGGGGACCGTTTACCTACGATTATCAAATCTGTAGCGGAGCAGATGTGAATGTGTCGTGTGCGCGGATCTGTTGCGGAACAGAGGTGAGTGTATCGTGTGCGGATCTGTTGCGGAGCAGAGGTGAATGTGTCGTGTGCGGATCTGTTGCGGAGCAGAGGTGAATGTGTCGTGTGCGGATCTGTTGCGGAACAGAGGTGAATGTATCGTGTGCGGATCTGTTGCAGAGCAGAGGTGAACGTATTGTGTGCGGATCTGTTGCGGAGCAGAGGTGAGTGTATCGTGTGCGGATCTGTTGCGGAGCAGAGGTGAATGTGTTGTGTGCCGATTTGTTGCGGAGCAGAGGTGAATGTGTCGTGTGCGGATCTGTTGCGGAGCAGAGGTGAATGTGTCGTGTGCGGATCTGTTGCAGAGCAGAGGTGAACGTATTGTGTGCGGATCTGTTGCGGAGCAGAGGTGAGTGTATCGTGTGTGGATCTGTTGCAGAGCAGAGGTGAATGTGTCGTGTGTGGATCTGTTGCAGAGCAGAGGTGAATGTGTCGTGTGTGGATCTGTTCGGG